ATTATTGTTGCTGTATTTCTTTAATTTTGTTATTAATTGGTTTAGATAATTGGCTGCTCCTATGTTAGGGGTGTAGATATTTAAACTAGTAAGATCTTCTTGTTGGACAGACCCTTTGAGTATTATATAGTGTCCTTCCTCATCTTTTATCATAGTCTTTGGCTTAAAATCTCATTTATATGATATAAGGATTGCCACCCTAGCTTTCTTTTGATGTCCATTAGCATGGCAAATTGTTTTCCACCCCCTCTCTTTAAATCTCGAGGTGTCTTTGGGTCTAAAATGAGTTTCTTGCAGACAGCATAGTGATGGGTCTTTTTTTTTTTTTTTTAATCTATTCTGATACCCTGAGTCTTTTGAATGGGGACATTTAGCCCATTTACACTCAGGGTAACTCTTGAGAGATATGAATTTAGTGCCATTGTATTGCCTGTACAGTGACTGTTACTGTATATTGTCTCTGTTCCTTTCTGATCTACTACTTTTAGGCTTTCTCTTTGCTTAGAGGACCCCTTCCAGTATTTCCTGTAGGTCTGGTTTGATGTTTACAAATTCTTTCAGTTTTTGTTTGTCCTGGAAGCTTTTTATCTCTCCTTCTATTTTCAATGATAGCCTAGCTGGATATAGTATTCTTGGCTGCATGTTTTTCTCGTTTAGTGCTCTGAATATATCATGCCAGTTCTTTATGACCTGCCAGGTTTCTGTGGATAATCTAATATTTTTACCATTGTATGTTACAGACTTCTTTTCCCGGGCTGCTTTCAGGATTTTCTCTTTGTCACTAAGATTTGTACGTTTTACTATTAGATGATGGAGTGTGGACCTATTCTTACTGATTTTGAAGGGGGTTCTCTGCGCCTCCTGGATTTTGATGCTTGTTCCCTTTGCCATATTAGGGAAATTCTCTACAATAATTTACTCCAATATACCTTCTGCCCCCTCTCTCTTTCTTCTTCTTCTTCTTCTGGAATCCCAATTATTCTAATATTGTTTCATCTTATGGTATCACTTATCTCTCTAATTCTCCCCTTGTGGTCCAGTAGTTGTTGGTCTCTCTTTTGCTCAACTTCTTTATTCTACATCATTTGGTCTTCTATATCACTAATTCTCTCTTCTGCTTCATTTATCCTAGTAGTAAGAGTCTCCATTTTTTATTGCACCTCTTTAATAGCTTTTTTTGATTTCAGCTTTATTTTATTTCTCCAGAAAGGCCTTTTATTTCTTCAGAAAGGGATTTTATTTCTCCAGATAGTGTTTCTCTAATATCTTCCATGCCTTTTTTAAGCCCAGCTAGCTCCTTGAGAATCATCATTCTGAACTCTAGATCTGACACATTACCAATGTCTGTATTGATTAGGTCCCTAGCCTTCGGTACTCCCTCTTGTTCTTTTTTTTTTTTTTTTTTTTTTTGTGGTGAGTTTTTCTGCCTTGTTATTTTATCCATATAAGAATATATGAATGAGAGAATAAAATACTAAAAGGGTGGCAAAGACCCCAGAAAAGTGGGTTAACCAATGCAGAAGAGAGCCCAAATCGTGGGGAGAATAAAGGGGGTAAAAAGAAGTTCTAAAAATCTTTTTTAAAAAAATTTAAAGAAATATACATATTAGACGGTGAATAGAACAGAGCCACCCACTTGATTTTGGGTGTATTTTGGTCTCTTAGAAGAAACTACCTCACAAAATTTTAAAGAAAGAAAAAATATATTTATATATACACACAGACAAAGATAAGGGTAAACACAATGAAAAGATGGAATATGACTATAAAGATGAAAATTTAAAAAAAAATTCTAAAAAAGGAGTTGATAAGATATGTTGTTTGGTAAAAGAAAGGTAAAGAAAGTGGAGAGTTTTCTCAGGCTGGAGACTAGAACAAAGCCCTGTGCTAGATTTAGGGTATATTTTGATGTATTAGGAGAAGTTGTATCCCAAATTTTTTTAGAAGGAAAAACCCTATGTGTGTACAAAAAATAAAGTTAGATACAATGAAGGATGAAATGTGACTGTAATAATAAAGGTTCAAAAAGATTTTTTCTTTAATAAATGTATTGTCAAGATAAACTAGTTAAAATTGTTAAAAGAGGAAAGAGTAAAAGTTAAAAAAAAATAGAATAAGAAAAAAATTAAAATGAAAAAGAAGTAATTAACTTTGCTAGACTAAACAATCATGGGAATAAACCATGAATTCCATGCTTTGCTTTCCCCTCCTCTGGAATTGCACTGTTCTCCTTGATCAGTGAGCTTGGTCTTGGCTGGATGTTCTTGCTGATCTTCTAGGGGAGGGGTCTGTTGTAGTGATTCTCAAGTGTTTTTGCCCAAGGCAGAATTACACCACCCTTGCCAGGGGCTGGGCTAAGTAATATGCTGGGTTTCACCCTCAGGAGCTTTTGTTCCCTGAAGGCTTTCTGTAGAGCTCTGGAGGAGGGAATGAAAATGGCAGCCTCCTAATCTCTGGCCCAGAGGAGCCAAGTGCTTGGGGCCCCACTCCTCAGTGTACCCTCAGAGAAAAGCGCTCTCACTCCCATCTCCCTGGTTTCCAGCTGCACTCTGAGCTCACCTGGCCTGTGTCTGAGCATTTCTGTCTCTGGCACACAGTCCTATTTGGTGTCTCCAAATCCAGCAGATTCCTGCCTCCAGATAAGGTAGGCAGATCTGCCACTTGTGGGGTCCCTGCTCAAAGAGCAGTGGCCTGATTGTGCCACGGATCACAGTTTAAGGTATTCCTGAGCTAAGAGCTCACTCATTGGCTCTGCCTTGGTAGCCAGCTTCCCCACTCTGATACCTGGGAGGTCTGTTACACTCAGACACCCCCAATCCTTCTGTGACCCTGTGAGAGCTGAGACCATGCTGTTTCCATGAGGGCTCCACCCCACTTAGCCTCTGGAGCAATGTCCTTCAGTGGAGCAGACTTTTTAAAAGTTCTGATTTTGTGCTCCATTGCTCTGTCACTTGCCGGGAACTGGCCCCTCCCACCACGGTCTATCTTCCCATCACTTCGGATTCACTTCTCTGCATGTCCTACCTTTCAGAAAATGGTCAATTTTCTGTTTCTAGAATTGCTGCTCTTCTTCTCTTTGATCGCCTATTGGATTTGTGGGTGTTTGGAATGTTTTGATAACTATCTAACTGAACTCCTGTGCCCTGATGTCATCTCAGCCTGCTACTCCTCTGCCATCTTGGCTGCCTGTCAACCTTCTTAAGTTTTTGAAGACTTATTTTGTGACCTAACATATGATCTTTCATAATCTTCCTTGTGCACTTGAGAAGAATGTATTTTCCACTGCTATTGGGTCGACTGTTCTATGCATGTTTGGTAAGTCCATTTGGGAACAGTTTTATTCAAGTCCACTGGTTTCTTATTGATTTTTTGTCTATATATGTTCTATCCATCATTGAAAGTAGAATATTGAAATCTCTTAGTATTACTGTGTTGTTGTCTATTTCTGCCTTTGTATCTGTTAATATCCGCTTGATGTATTTAGGTATTCTGATGTTGGGTGTATAAATATTTATAATTATTATATCTTGCTGGTAAACTGACCCTTTTATCAGTATATAAAGTTCTTATTTATGACAGTTCTTGTTTTAGAGTCTATTTCATCTGACATAGGTATAGTCTTGCCCTCCTGCCCTCTTTCAGTTGCCATTTGCATAGAATAACTTTTTCTCAGCACTTTACTTTCAGATAATGTGTGTCCTTAAATCTTAAGTAAGTCTCTTGCAGACAGCATAGAATGGGATTAAAAAAATCCATTTAGCCACTCTAAGTCTTTTGACTGGGGAGTTTAACCCATTTACATATAAAATAATTATTTATAGGTAAGGACTTAGTCTTACCATTTTGTTTTCTGTGTGTCTTGTAGTTCTTCTGTCCTTTCTTTTCCTTCCTTCCTTTCTTCATTCCTTTGTATTTTGTTGATTTTTTGGTATTGTTATGCTTTCATGATTTTCTCTTTCTTTTGCAGAACTTTTGTCTTGGATCAAATTTGGATCTCCTTTTATTTGAGTTCATTCTCTTAGAATGGTACTGTGTCTTTATCTCAGATTAATTCCCATTGCATTGATCTGCAAGTGTTCTAAATGCTGGCTTTCCAATTTGGATGTGTAGACTTTTTGTCTTGCTTACTCAATTATCATTAACTCTCTCTTTTTTCCTGGATACTTTTGTTCCTATCACCTAAGGCAGAAATCCCTATAATAACAGCTAGTTCAGAGGTCAAGTTGTTTAGAGTATATCTTTGATAAAAAATATTCTACAGTTGTCTTCTGTGTAGGAAATGTGCAAGATTGTGCCATTGCTATATCAAGAAGAATTTTATATTTCTTTTTGGCTTTAGGAAGAGAAAATAATTTGTTCTAGGAAGAGCCCAGATTTCAGTATAAATGATGCCTATGGAATTGTACAAGGCAGCAATAATTTTGGGATGAATCCTCTTGCATTATTCAATACTCATTCATTTCTGGTTAATCTTTATTTCTCAACCCAATAAATATTCTTTGACTACATAGTTGGGAGTGAAACTATGAATTTTCAGCAGAATACTTAGACATTGTGCCTTTTGTTTAAATATTTTAACTGTCCCATTTGTATATAATCTAACCCAAAGCTTTACAGAGAATTGTTCCACTAAATATATAACTCTGAGATTTTCTATACATGTGACATTTTTATGCTGATTATCAATGTCCCTTTGATCAGCAGCTTGTAAATGCATAGAGGTTTCTAATTGGAAGAAACTAGAGTCACCATTTAGTCACATATTGATATGAAAGAAGAACCATTAAAGAGTAAAGAAAGCAAGGGGAGCACACTATACTTAAACTCACTAAACTCACGTAGTTTGACGTCAAGGACATCATTCTTTGAGTCATATTGTTTTTAATATATGAATGAGTTTTTGTTTCTTCTCTGGTCACATGAATTATTACCCAAGATTACTCTGTGGCTCCAGAGCTTCCTCATGGCATTTTTCACCCCTGAGGTTCTGAGGGTGTAGATTAAAGGTTTATTAACACGGGTATTAATATGGTATAAAACACTGCCACTGCTTTGTCAATGGGGAAGGTGACCATGGGCCAAAGGTATATGAATAGGCAGGATATAAAGAATAGGATAACTACAGTAACATGGGAGGTGCAGGTGGAAAGGGCCTTATGCTGTCCTTTATTACTGTGAGTTCTTAGGGAGTATAGGACGAGGACATAGGAGGTGACAAGAATAGAAAAAATGAGGAGACACATCAGCCCACTGTTGGTAGCAACAAAAAGTCCAAAAATGTGAGTGTCAGTGCAAGAGAGTTTTAGTAGAGGGCAGAGGTCACAGATGAAGTGGTCATTGACCCTGGGGCCACAGAATGGCAACCAGACCTTAAAAAGAATTTGAACCAGAGTGTGAATAGATTCCCCAGCCCAGGCCATGGCCACCAGGTGGCCACACATTTGCCTGCTCATGGCGATCCTGTAGTGTAGGGGCTTGCAGAAGGCCAGGTAGCGGTTGTAGGCCATCACAGTGAGCAGGATGATCTCCACTCCTCCAAAGAAATGCTCTGCAAAGAGCTGAGTCATGCACCCACTGAAGGAGACAGTTTTCTTTTCTGTGAGTAAGTCTGGTATCATTTTGGGAGCCATGGTAGAAGAGCAGCAGCTGTCTACAAAGGACAAGAAAGACAGAAAGAAATACATAGGGGAGCCCAGGGCTCTGCTGGATTTGATTGTCATGACAATGAGTAGGTTACCTGCCCCATTGAGAAAGGAGATGACTATAAACACAATGCACAAGAGTTTCTGCACATCTGGGTTCTGTGTCAGGCCAAGCAGGGTGAATTCTGTCACATTGTTCATTAGTTTATGAATCCACCATGGCATCTGGACAATTGATTTGTCTATGAATAGCACAGGGATTGCAATTATGGCAGGTGAATTTTGATCAAGCAAATCATTTCTGTCAGAATTGCTTTCTTTCAGAAAGAAGGCAACTCCAGGCAGATAAACTCAGACTTAAAATTGGGCCTTATTACTAGTTATAATGAACACATTGCCTCTTCACCCTTTGACTGACACACAAACATATTCACACATACATGCATTCACACATACACTCATCCATATCCACAAATACAGTTTTACAAATGCACAGCCCTTCCTATAATTACACATAGTTGGATATTCATGCCATCACCAAAAAAAAAAAAAAAGACGCAATGGAGTGTATTAATGCCTTCAAATAAGATATAGATTTGTTCCAAAAGAGAAATCAAAAAAATAAGTTTATATGTAATTTCTGGCTGAAGAAGAGCATCTAAAGCAGATACAATGGTATGAGAAACAGGACAAATTAATGGATTTAGTTAAATAAAGGTCTGCAACACACTGGAAATAACTTGAAACAAGTACAATAAGTAACCATTTTTATGCAAATGGTTTTTGCAAAAAAGATCTACTCATACCATTGTGAAAATAAGGGCATAGTCATCAAAGAAGTATGTTTAAACAATGAAATGCTTTTGATTGACGGGTTTTCCAAGATTTATGATAGTTACATTACCCAGTGCTGGTGACTGTGTGTTGATATAAATTCTTCTGGAAAGAAGTTTGACTCCATGTAATAAGGGCTTTATAACTGGTTATGTCTAGTATTCCTTCAGTTTGGGAATCTATTCCAGATTAAAAAAAATGGATAAAAAATTAATCATGCAGGTTGTATTCCATAATTTTTTGATGATAATAGATAAGTGAACATATTCCAAATATTTGCATTAATATGAATAATTAAGTGCATTATAGTAATGAAATATCAGGTGGACATTAAAATTATTTCAAGAGTTTGTAGTGTGGAAAGATTTTTCTTCCAATATAATATTGAGTGGAAACCACAAAATATAAAACAGTTTATGTATTATGATCTAAAATGTCCAAAATGACATGTATACATAGAAAGGTATGTGTAAAAAAATACACTATAGAGATTAATAGTGTTTACTTGAGTTATGAGTTAAGGGCATTTTTACATTCTTTAAAAAATTTTTTGAACCAAGTTTTCTATAGTAGATTACCTTCATAACCAGTGAAATAATTCAGTAAAAGTAATATTATTTTCTTATCTCTGGTGTGGGTTGGTTCATAATCTCCTGAGTGACTGTGCTTTTTTAAAATAGACTAAATATAGTCATTATGCATAAAATTCTGTGAAAGTAAGTACACATATTTAAATCTAACTCACCTTAGGGAACTAGTATTACTTTGAGAACAAACTACTAATAAAAAAATCAGTGTACCTACCTGTTTGATGCCTTTGAGAAAGAAGTAACAGATTCATTCCAGAACAGGTGTCTTCTCTTAGAGCACACTTGGCATGAAGGTTGCTGTCACTACCCATTTCCAGCAACTGCTCTGCAAGTTCAACCATTTTTATCTTAGGTCTATTTCTTTCGCTCACTTAGTTCCTTGAAAATTATTGCTGAGAGAGACTTCCTAAATAATCAAGTTTATCAGCTGGGTTTAGTTTTGGATTCTAGGGTCACACCTTCCTGTGAGTGCCATGCATGAGTATCCCAGGTGAGACACTTATTCTTTTCTTTTCTTTTTTAAAGATTTTTTAAAAAAATTATGTATTTGACAGAGAGAGAAATCACAAGTAGGCAGAAGTAGACAGAGAGGCAGGCAGAGAGAGATGGAGATGCAGGCTCTCTGCTGAGCAGGGAGCCTGATGAGGGGCTCAATCCCAGTACCATGGGATCATGACCTGAGTTGAAGACAGAGGCTGAACCCACTGAGCTACCCAGGCACCTTATTCTTTACTTAGCTTGGACTAAAGAGTTGGACTTCATAAGAAATTGAGGGGAAAGCCTAAACAATGGGGGGACTTCTCTCTCCAACCCACCGTACTTCACATTTGCCAGTTTGTTTGTTTGTTTGTTTTTTTGGTGACAAGATGAAGTATATTGTAAAGACTACTTGATCTGAGATCCACACTGATATAAAGCCATGAAAATAGCATACTTTATTAAAGCACAAACATTAGGGATTGCAAGCAGCATACAATCAGCAACAAATGCAAGATCCCTGAAGTAGCAGGCAAGTTAACTGCAGTTAGCTCTTATAAGTCTTTTTCTTAGTAAGCCTGTGCTCAGCCCAGAGTTATTTTCTTTGGTCCTTGGGAGTCTGGATCCAGCTATGTTGGAAACTCAGAACCAAACAGCTTCTGTGACATGTGGCTGGTTATTTTTATGTGGTCTTCCTGGGTCCATCTTTATTAATATTTTCATGGATGGTTTTAGAGAAGTTTTATTTTTTTAATTTTTTAAAAGATTTTATTTAATATTTGACAAAGATCACAAGTAGGCAGAGCAGCAGGCAGAGATAGAGGGAGAAGCAGTCTCCCCACTGAGCAGAAATCCCAATGCGGGGCTTGATCCCAGGACCCTGAGATCATGACCTGGGCCAAAGGATTAGGCTTAACCCACTGAGCCACCCACGCACCCCATTAGGGAAGTTTTAAAATGGGTATTAGGTGTTAGGGAGGCTCCGATCTCCCAGCTCCCAGAGGATCAGAATTAGCAGCTTCAACCAAGATGGCAGCCAGGTCAGTTTATCATTTCTGTCTGGGGACCATGGCATTTGTGACCTAAGGGGTGGGGGAGAGCCAGCTGGGCTGGGTTAGCAGCCCCTCTATGATTATGTTTAGGAAGTGGTCCTAGGGCCTGGGATGAAAGGCACAGAATGTTCTATTCATGGGGGTATGGATGCATGAGTCAGTCAGAGTCTATAAAATAGTCTTGATAATACCTATCTCACGGAGCTCTGGGTGGGGGGGTTGAGCAAGATGACACAGGATAACATCGAAGCCAGTGAAAAACGGTATTCTAATGCTAATGCCCCAGTGGTCTACACCTGTAGGCTAGAGAAGGTGCTCTTAATAATAGATATCTGAATCATGCTGAAGAGAAAAATTTTGCTGGCTCTTCTATTTGCTAACTGTGTGACACTGGACAAATTCCTTAGCCTTTTTATACCTGAGTTCCCACATTTGTAAAAAGGGGTTGATAATGGTACCTATCAGAGGACTGTAGTAGGGTTCTATAAGATAAAGAGCAAAGATTCACTGCTGTCTGTTATTTTCTGTGCAGATATCAAAGCTCATGGTGTGACCAGTTTGTTTGGGTTCCTGGCAAGAATATATATATATATATATATATATATATATATATATAGTCTCCATTAGTCTTTTGGTTGCTAGACTCTGTACACATACAGAAAGTAGAGAAGACCTATTTAAAGTAGCAAATACTGATTCATAGGACATTATAATTTTAAAATCTTTCTATCAAAATTTGATTTGTCACCACTAAAGAAATCTGACAGTGAAGTTGGGAGTTCCTGAAAAAGTTGTAGGAATAAAGGAAAAAGGGACACAATGAGGACTGACAAGTAATAAATTATTGTCACTCTGCTAAGTATGGTATTTTATATAATTCTTATATAATCCCAAGAGGACGGTACTGCTAATTCTGTATGTGTAAAGAGGTCAGTGTTCACTGTGAACATCGTTGGTCAAGATCAGAGACACTAATCTTTGGTAGAGCTTGGATTTAAATGCAGGGATCTAATTCTAAGCCTGAGCTCTAACAATTATGCTGTGGTACCAGGTAGACACTGGTTCTGTGATGTGTCTCATGCACTGGGAATGATTGGCATGGGGGTGCTGATACAGACCCTGGGGGATTATGTAGAGTCTCTGGTTCTCCCAGCAGTGGCAGGCAGGACACATTCCTCAGACAGATCCCAGGTGCCTCAGTGACCATGAGGAGAGCCACAGAGAAAGGAGGACATTTTTTATCTTCCTTTCCTACCTTTGGCTCCAATCTGAGAGATCTGCCTAAACATTATCTTGGAAATTTTCTCTCTGAAAATTTCCTGCAGAGTGGAAGGAAGACCAAGTAGATGTTCAGACTGAGGAGCAGGGACATCCTCTACATGAATGGGGTGTGGTAGGTTCCCAGAGAAGTAATACATCAAAGCAATGAGCCTGGGTGTGAAACCCAGTTCTTCTATTTGCAAGACTCTATGTATGCCATTTCACCTACTAGAGTCTGAAAAAGAGCCCTATATAAATTGACATTATTGGGAAGAATACTGGAAAATTGTGTAAAAGTTCATCTGATGAATGTGTTATACAGAATTTACTTAGAAAATACTTTTCTGAAATGAATTGAGAGAAGTTTTTGTATTTTCTACTATTGTGATACTGTTGGCTAGTATTTGTTGAATCCTGTCTAACTTTGGGAGCTTGGCTGTGTTATTTACCTTCCACGTGTCAGTTTCCTTTTCTGCAAAATAGAGATAACATTATTTCATAGAGTTGTTACAAGAATGAAATTAGTCACTACGTGGAACATCAGCATATGTGTGAATGTTTTTTAAGATGGGAGAAACTTGATATGTTGAAGTGCCAGGGGATAGAGCTAAGAAGGAAGTGTGGGGGAAGGGGAGAGAGAGAGATTGATTAGAGATGTATGGAGAGCAGTCAGTGGAGGCGCATTAGGTGTGGCAGACGCTGTCACCCACAGTTGGCTATTTCCCAGCTTCTTTCTTTCCAAGGAAACTCCATTTCTTTAGGTGTTCAGAGGAAAGTGTGGTCCATCCCCAGGCCACAGTTGTGACCCTGGATTAGTCCAAAACAATTACGGTAATGCCCTCCTCTTTTCAGTGATCAATTTAAGGGCTGGCATGTGACAAAATTTTGACCAATGGGAGATAAGAAAAACTTTGGGATTTCTTTTGGGTGATGCTTCTCTGTTCCTAAAAAGAGAATCAGGAGAACAAATTCTCTTTCCTAGTAACGCCTTCAGTAAGGGATGCCAGCATTG